GAGTTCTTATAAAATTATTGAAAGGACTTAGAGCTGTGCTGTGGGCTAGGCCTCCAGACATGAGTCTCCAAAGTATCCTCCAAGGAGCTGCTGCTTGGGGAAAGAATTGGGAGGCCCTTGTTGCACTGTTGCCCCCAGGGCCCAGTTCCAACCCCTGCACTGCAGATAGCAGAAACCAGTATCACCCGGGTGCAGTGGCACTCACCCATGATTCCAGCACTCAGGAGGCTGAGGCAAGAGAATCACTTGAGAGTTCGAGGCCACCTGAACTACTACAACTACCTTTTTTTTGGTATCGGGGATCAAACTCGGTACCTTGCATTTATGAGGCAGGCGGTAGCACCGCTGTGCTAAATCCCCAGCCCTCTAAACTACTACATAGTGAGACTCTGCCTCAAAAAAGAAAAAAGAAACCAGTACTAGTGCAGTTTGTCTCCGCCTCAAAGAACACCTGGGAACAACCTCACCCAGACCTGCCACTCTCTCCAGTACTGTGCACCCCTATGTGCACCCATAGTCAGCAGTATCCCTCCCCTCTGGAACTGGATTATGCATGCTGCCTAATCTAGTTGGGGAACCTGATCTTCACCCTTTGCCCTCCCTGCAGCCCAGCCCAGCCCAGCTGCTGGGCAAAGCTCCAGTGCTTGCTGAGTGAGTACCTTCTATCTCAGTAAGCCATCAACTCAAGGGCATAGATTGAAAGAGGGTGCAGGGATGTCAGAATTTCAAAGAATTTTGAAAAACTCTTACACAATTACCATAGGGAGGTTGTGGCAGTCTGCATTAGGTTAATAAGAGGAATTTTTAGTAGCAGTGGGGCTTACGATAGAGTAAGTAGGTAATAGATGTCATCCTGGTCTCTGCAGGGTCCTGGCTGCAGCAGGGCCAGAAAGGCTAGAAACCAGACTAAAGGTTGGGATGAACATACAGAAGTAGGGCAGCATAACAAAGGGAAGAAAGGTTGGGGGCCTCGCATGCTGCAGTGGTGGGATTGAAGTGACAAAGCTGTGGCCATGGGAGATAGCAAGGGACACCAGAGGGAGAGTGTGGCTATGACCACGGCTTGAGGATGGTCAGAGCCCCACAAGCGTAGAAGAACAGGTAAGGGGGCAGGAAGGAGGTGGGACGAGGAAGGCAAGTTCCTTCTCCTTTGATCTCTTAGAGATGGTGACATGGATAGAAATTTGAAAAGGAGCTCCCAAGTCCTGAAGGGACAGTCTGAACTTCCTCCCCATACTGTAACCTGCTTTTTTGTAAAAGTAATGGTAGGAATTTATAAACTTTCTGGACCTATTATGAACAGTGCTATCTAAAAACTTTAGTTTAAAGCAGAAAAGTATTACTTAGAAAATTGTTTTAAGACTGTTGCTTTCTTATATGAAGCATTAATAACTACGTTTTACCAGCAGATGTTACCCTCATTTTTTAAAAAAGGTAAAAAAAGCTTTATTCAGCAAAGAAGAGTAACCAAAATTTCCATATTGCTGCGTGTTTTTTGTACTAGCTATGTAGTTAAATGATTGCTGTCTTTAATTTTTTCTAAACAAAACATGATTTATTAATGATTCATAAAATCAAGCTCAAATAATCCCCGTGGTCTTGTGTTTTGCTATGTAAAAACACTCATGTGTAGAAAGATTGGTTACAATGTGAGCCTTTTTCATTGACTCATGGCCTTAAATTTGGGTCTGTTTAAAGAACAGAAATGTTAGGATTTCTTTGATATTCGATTTCTTTTGAAAAGGATAAATTTAGAAGTTTTAATCTGGAGCCAGGTGTAGTGGCACACACCTGTAATCCCAGCACTCGGATAGCTGAGGCAGGAGGATCGCTGCAAGTTCAAGGCCAGCCTGGGCTACTGAATTCAAGCCAGCCTGAAGTACAAAGGGAGAGCCTGCCTCAAAAAACAAAACAAAAAAAAGAAGTTTTGATCTGAAGAGTAGATAACCAGCCAAAAATTACCCACTTGATGTATCTGTTTTGTAAGAATAGATCCAAATTTGAGATCATCCATTTATCATTTGAGGTTGTTAGGTAGCTCCTCTTTTCAAAGATCCAAAAAGTACTAGCTGAAACACATCAGGTTCATCACTACATTATGAAAGAGACTCAGAGGTACAGCTTGGCCAGGTCAGAGTTCTTGGCTCCTTCTGTCTTACTGCTTTGCTGAGCAAGGCATCTCTTCGCTTTCCTCCAGACCACCATCCGAAGCATTAGCTCTTCAGGCAGCGAGAAAAATTACTGTGAGAATTACTGTGTGGGCAAACATAGCGTACTGTGTCATGTTATATACTTCAGGGGCTTTTGGCCTTTTTTTCTTTTTTGTTTTGTTTTGTTTTGTTTTTTGAGACCAGGTCTTGCTTTGTACAGGGTGGCCCTGAACTCACCCTGTAGCCCAGGCTGGCCTCGAACTTAGCGGCAGTCCTCCTGCCTCTCCCCTCTCCCCTCTCCCTCCCATGTGCTGGGATTACAGGCATGTGCCAGCATGCCCGGCAGTCTTTCTTTTCATTTAATACACGCTTAATGATATTTTTCTCTTTGTGAGACAATATGCTGGTACTACAGTGTAGAGTATGCAGTTGAAATAGCTTTTAATCTGTCATAACTGCCGGTGTCTCAATTTGTTATAATTTCAATCTTTAGGAAACAGAATTATTTAAGTACTACTTGAACCTACTTGAACCTACTTAAACTTTTATCTTTTTCAAAAAGTTATTGCCACTTCTAGACCAGCACTATCCAATAGAAATATAAGAAGTTGAGGGTGTGGGTTGATGGTAGAATGCGTGTTTAGCCAAGTATGTGGCCCTGAGTTTAATCCCAGCAACACACACACACAAATAAATAGACAGTGAAAAAATTCTCTTTAGCTGGGTTAGTGAGGCACACCTGTAATCCCAGCTATTCAGGAGACTGAGGCTGGAGGACCATTGGAGCCCAGGAATTCAAGGCCAGCCTGGACAAGGTAAGGAAGCAAGAAGAGGCAGCATTCCTAGACTCAAAAGAAGTTTGACAGGAGAGGAGAGAAATTGAAAGGTAGCGGGAGGAAAAATTGGAGCTGAGGGAAATAGTGACTGTTGTGGTTAGTAAAGAGATTAGATTTTAGCATGTTTAAATGCTGATGAAAAAGCCAGCTATAGTATGGCTAGACAGTGCCTGGGCCAGTTAACAGTAGGAAATGTGCTTTTCTCCAGCTTCCACACAAATACATGTGACCAGTTTTCTTCTGTATACTCAGTGATCTCATATTAAAGCCTTGGCTTAAAAGTACATAATATTCATAAAACAGAGTTAATCTAAGATCCAGTCTTATGCTTCAGGTCTGTGTCTACTCTGAACTCCTAAAATGGAATCCAGAGCTTGGAGGACACCATCTTGCCTTGCCTCTCTGGCACACTGGTATCCCTCATACCACTGAGAAAGAAAAAAAATGGTCTGATGAACTGACCTGTCATTGATTATAAGACACATCCCAGCACAAGTGATACTAGCATATGAAAACACATGAGTCTTAGAATTGATGGAATGCGGTATTAGCCATAGATGGGTGTTAACAGATGAGGGGGACAAAAAAAGCAGTGTAATATTCATGTATACATAGTGGCACACATGTGAGGAAGTTTTTGCTTACTAGACTTTCTTCAGGATAAAGACCAGTTTATCTTTTAGGGATGGGGAGAGGTTGGGGCAGGGAGATGAAGGCATTAGAGGCTCAAAAGTAGGTCTTTGAATCATTGACCCAGGAACACGTGGGATTGATGGAAAGCACTAAGGGCAGGGACCGTGCATTCAGAATGTGTGGCTGTGCAATTGTCTTGAAAGATACATAGCAATCTATGTCAGTCTGTGGAGAGAATAGACAGTGGCTTCATCCAGGATCAAGGATTTGCCAGGCAGCATTGAAGATAGGCAAAGCCATAAGGAAAACTAACAAGCAGACAATGTAGTGGTCACCTGGTGGGGTGTGGTGTCTATGTTGAGAGAAAATGCAGGCATTCGAGCTGACAATGTAAAGAAAATCTCATGGACACCTCCCCAGAGTTGACTTAAAATATTTGTTAGTTGTTACCTGAAAGATACACATCTGTACTCATTTTGTGTGCGTTTTTACTTTACTCAACTGTTAAACCAAAAACACTTAGAAATTAAGTAGAAATAAACCTAACAAAATTCTAATAACTAAGTAAGTGTCATACTCTGGATAATGATGTTTAACATTCAGAATGAAAATGAGACTGACTCTTGAGGCTGAGATCTGTTGTCCCTGACATCAGCATGCATTATCACTGCACACCCTTTCGTGTTTCCCAAGCTCATTGATGCTGGTGTCATTTGCAGAGTGACTTGGTCAGGGTACAGCATGCTGCCAGGTACCTCTTCACAGTTACTGATGTCAAAATCTGATGGTAGTAGATAACCCAAAATGTACAGGAGTTATTTTATTCATTTTCATCAGAATTAAAACAAATATAAATTCATGGAGGCCTGGGGATCTTATGATTTGTATAAACCATGAACAAGAGCAAGGTGGTCTAGTCACCAGCAGCAGCATCACTTCAGAATTTGTCAGAAATACAAATGTCCAGCTTCTCCTCCTCCAGCCTGCCTGGCTCTGGATGAGCTGGCTGGGCTTTCATATGCCCTCTGGGTCATTCTAGTACAAGCCTATGTGAGAACTAACTGCAGTTCTAATCTAACTTTATCACTTTAGTTTTACAGATGAGTATACTGAGTCCCAAGAGCAGCTGGCTTAAGATCTCAAGATATCAGTTTATTTGTAGAAAAACTGAGTCTTGAACCTGCAACTCTAGCATTTAGTCTAGTTCTGTTTCCAAAACACTGTATTATCATTTTTCTTTCAGGTTTTGTTTAGGGGAGGAAGTTAATCACACTGTTTTGTATGTTTTCTTTGGTTTGGGTTAGGTTCTAAGGAGATGTTACTAAAGCTTTGGATTCTTTTTCCTCTTGTTTTTTTTTTTTTTTCCTCTTGTTCTTTTCAGTGCCAGAACCTACTAAGACCTGTTCAAGCCAGCCCCAACCTGCCGGTACCAGTACCAATACTTCCACCAGCACTATCTCCAGCAGCAGCAATGGCAAACGTGCACCTGCCAGTGGCCAGCAGCCAGCTGCATCCCGTTACCTGCCTCGTGAGGTGCCTCCACGCTTCCGCCAGCAAGAACAGAAGCAGCTGTTAAAGAGAGGCCAGCCATTGCCTGCAGGGACGCTGACCAGTGTGAGCCCAGCACAGGGTGCAAGCCCTCCTCCCCTTCCTGGAGCTGGGGCGCAGCAGCAGCATCCCAGCAAGCTCCAACCAGGTAAAAACCAGGAAGAATGAGACTTTTTCTTTCTTTCTTTTGTGTGTGTGTGTGTGCGTTGGAAATCTAACCAAAGCTTCACACATGCTATGCAAGCACTCTTAACACTGAGCTACTTCCCAACCTGAGACGTTTTTAATCTGAGAACTTTGCTGCTAAGAAATAAAAAGAGACATATTTTGGTTCATATTCACTACATACGTATAACAAATAGAGTGATTCATTTCAGGTAGATTTGAAAGTTGGTGGTTTCCCCTCTTTATTTGTGGTATTTCTCATGTATCTGCAAATGGCATTAACTACTACAGCTCCATGTATCTCTCACCAGTAGCTGAAGGTCTGTATGTTGGTCCATGTGCCCCATCAAGTTGGAACCTTTAGAACTACTGTACATTAAAACTTTTTCCCTGCATTGGCCAGACTGTCTCCTGAGTATACACACATCCTTGTAGGAGGTAGTGGATGCTGACAGTGGATGTCTTTAACCAGTGTAGCCACCAAGCCTGACTGATACTCCTTGTCCTGAGTCCACATGGACTCTTGGGTTTTCCCCCGCTTGTGTTTTGTTGCTGCCCTCCCCACGTGGTAGCTTTCTTTTGGCTCTCAAGAAAAATCATCACCTGCCTGTCTGTGTTCTGGCTGCCAAAATGTAGATGGCCCCCATCTTAGCTCCTTTTTCCATCTCCCTGACCTTATAAGTTTAATATTGTTGAGAAATCTCTTCACATAGTTTTAGGGAAATTTTTGGAAGAGAGCAAAATATTTCTGTTCAACTGCCATGTTTCTCTGTTTTGTTACATTTTTCTGTTTCAAACAATTTAACTGCTTGTGGGTAGTGGTTCCAAAATGGAAACTATACTTGCTGGCCATTGTGAAATCCAGTCTTCAATTTGATAAGCCAGGAAGATTGAGGTTGGAATTTAAAAGAAATATACCATGATTGTATTCATATTTATTTTCTCTCATGTGCTGCCTCTTAACACAGGGAGTAATTCCAACATGGCCTTAAAGTATCTGTAGCAGTGCTTTTCAAAACTGTGACTGTGCCATATTTGAAACTAATTTTATTTTATTTTTGCTTAAATTCTTTTATTGGTACACTTTAGGTATACAATACGTTTACATTTATCATTGGGTGCTTGTACCTGTACATGATGTATCTTCGTTCTTATTTTTTCCCCATTACCTGTGCACCCTTCACCCCTCCACCCTTCCATATTTACATAGACTTTGTTTCCTTTTTTTTTCTTTTCTTTTCTCATAATTTTTCCTTTCTATTCTTCCCTTGCCCCATCTCCTCCCACCACCCCTACCCCTTTGGACCTGTTCCTATTTCAAAGTATCAATTATTAGTTATTAATCCTTTTAATCCTTATTTACACTCTCAGTTTCTCACTAGAGAAACTATTCAGTATTTACACGTGTGTCTTATTTATTTCACTTAAGAGTATGGCTTCAATATGCATCCATTTAGCTATAAATGACTCTAGCTTCTCATTCCTTATGGCTGAGTAGTACTCCATTTTATTAAAAAAAAACACATCTTCTTTATCCAGTTTCCAGTTGATGGGCACTTGGGCTGTTTCCAAGCTTTAGCTATTACAAACTGTGCCGCTATAAACATGGGTGCACATTGTATCACTGTGGTATGATTCTTTTAATTCTTTTGGGAAAATACCCAGCAGGGGAATAGCTGGGTCAAATGGGACCTCCAGCCCTAGTGAAACTAATATTTTTACATAATTTTTCTGTATCTCTTCAAATATATATTAATATTGGGCATAGTGGTGCATCCCTGTAATCCCAGCACTTGGGAGGCTGAAGCAGGAGGATCACTGTGAGTTCCAGGCCAGCCTGGGCTATGTGGTGAGTGCAAAGCCAGCCTGAATTACATAGTGAGACCCTGTCTCAAAAAATTAAAAACAATAAAAGTTTAAATTTAAAATATATATATCCATATTCATTGGCTGAGAATATAGTCCCGTTTGTTTGGCTGCAAGCACTTTACATCCAAACATACCAGTTACTTCCTACATTGAAATATGGTCATCAGGACAATCTTAATAGAGATTCCATAGTCAGGTCTAAACAGCTTAGTGTACAAGTTTAAGGTGCTTATCAAAAAACTGAACAAGCAGCCCTCATTCTCTAGGTGGCTCTTGTGATACACTTGGTTAACAGTTTTCTTCAGTGTCCTTGGCAGTGCTTTTGGTCCAAGATGATACTGAGACCTGCTTAGATAAGTAGAAAATAATCAAGGAATGAATTCCATAAAATTATGGCATGAAAGCAGTAGTCTTTAAGCAGTTTTTTGGACTAGGGTTGTAGCTCAGTGGTAGAGTGCTTGCTTATCCCTCAGTTTAATCCTTAGCATCACATGCACACACACACACAAACACAAATTTTAGGGCCGGGGATTTAGCTCAGTGGTTTCACCACCTGCTGCACAAGTGCAGAGACCCAAGTTTGATCCCCGGTACCAAAAAAAAACAAACACAAATTTTACACATATAGAACTTGTGTAAAAACAGAAATCCTCATTTTGTGGATAAAAATGTCAAAAATTAAATCTAATCTATTTAATAAGTATAAAATAAATTGATTCTTGGCTCCCAAACAAAAGTCTTCATTTTTGCACCCCACCCATTCTCCCTCGAAGCCTCAGGTGTCACATCCAGGTGTATCTTCCTCACTTTTCATTGATTAAGAAATACCCTCAGAAACTGCATCATCTTGTAAGAAGATGCAGTTTTCTGCATTCATAGCCTTGTCTGGTCAGTATTTCTCTCCTCTTGTCTTTGGTACCCCTTTGTCCCAACTGGACCAGTTGCTGACATCTCATAGGGGGCACCAGCTCAGCACCAAATCTTTCCCAGGAGATGCACCAGAAGGATTGTTCTTCCACTTCCTTTCTCTCCATTCATCCACGTCCTGAAGCTTCCCTCTGTATCTCTGCCTTCATTGCTCCTCATAGAGCTTTAATGTACCCATTTGCAATACGCAGCTGTACACTTACTGTGTACTATGTAACTCGAATCTTTTGCTGATTAATTCAATAGAGTCTCACCTTCCAACTAAATCCAAAATAACCTTGAAGAAAATGTCCAGACTTTCTATCACTGGCTTAGCAAAGGAGAAAAAAATGACCAAAGACCAGACCAGTACTTCATTTCTCATTTAAAAGGAGAGGTCTGATTCTCTCGTGGCCTCAAGTCTTTAGGATTCCTTCCTTTTACCTTCTGATTGACTTTCTAAAGAGCTTTTGTAATGTCCATGGTGGACATTGCTGGAATGCCACTGTGTTGTGGCAGTGGTTGGGGAGATAGCCTACAGGGTGATTAGCAAGGCCTGGCTCACCTTCCAGGCCACAGCTCCCGTGGGGTGTTGGCCAAGTCGCTTTCACCATCAGGGCTTTCCATACTGCCTCTGTGGAGTGAAGAGACTTCTGGTAGCATTCTGAAAATGAGATGTTTGTTTTGTACTCAGCACAGGACCTTACATATACCTGTAGTAAATGTTCAGTAAATACGATGAGAGTTGTTAATTGGGACTTTGAGACTTTGAAACATGCAACCAATATGTGCCCATCTTTGAAACACTGTGTGAAGCAGAGTAAGGGGGAAAAATCCTTAAGGTCTTTAAACAACTGTATTCTAAAACAGTGCAATAAAGCTTTCTCCTCTCTGTGACTTTTGCATATGGAATTTTGGGATTTCATCTGTCCTTGGAGTTGAATATAAATTTGTCTTTTTTATGGCACAAATTATTTAATGAATTCAAGTCCAGGTGAAATTGTTAGTTTATTTCAGAAGAATAACCAGATTTCTTGTTGCAGTTAAACTAAGATGCTGCTTGAAGTAAAAACTCTTAATAGTTTCTTTTAAGTAATACATAGACTTTCATTGTATTTAATCTGTGTAAGCACATTTCACTTCTAGAGGAGCCAGGGCGACAAAGGCCTAACTAGAAATGTCCTGGGAGCTGGAGAAGCAACTGTGAACCACACAGGAGGAAAAGAAAGCTACCCTGTGATCCAGGAGCTCCTGCTCTGGGCAGCTCCAGTTCTGGCTAAGGGCAGGGTGCAGCCTGTGGGAGAACTCGTTCTTTCTCTATCACTGACAGTAGCCAAAGACATGGTCAAGTGTCCTCAGTAGCAGAAGGGCTTCTGCGGAGTAAATTGGCCAGCGCTCCTCCCAGCACTGGTCCAGGTTCTCTTTGAATAAGCACTGTTGCTGGCAGATAAGCACTGACCTCACAAAATGATCCAGGGGAAAGTGGAGTTTTAAATCCATGTATTGAATGGGAAGAGACCTTGTTTAGCCAACTGTCAGGAAGTCTGACCTGGTCAGATGACTGTTAGTATATATATACTGTGATTTACACTATGCTTCCAAAGAATGCCACCTTATATTATTTTCTCTTCAGACTGTTTTTGCAAGACTGCAGAATAACTCCAACTTGAAACACTTAGAGAGCTTTTATCTTTTTCAAAAAAATGAATTTTCCTTCTGCCTTTAGGTATTATTTTGGTGGCTGCTTTGTACATTTATAAACAGAGGCTCTGATTAATATGCTGCAGTGTTTGCTACTTAGATCTTTTTTAAATAGAGGTGGAAAGTAATTAAGTTGGACACATGCCAGTTTACATATGGGACTCATTTAGAATATTACAGCTAGTGTTGGTATGCTGAGTGTTTAGGGGTTGTTTAGGAAAAGAAAGGAGTGTAAAACAAAAGCCTGTGTGGTAAAACAGCCATTTATTTACATGTAGCCAGTGGGCAATTTGTCATTACTCTTTTGGCTGGCTTTCAAAAAACAAGAAAAGTGGGGTGATGCTAATTGTCACTGGCTCCTGAAGTGAAAATGTTTGTGACAGTTGAGGGAATGTAAAGAGGAAGGAAGATCGGTTTAGTGTCAGCTGCAATTAGATAATCAAAGCTTTAAGATCCCATCACCGGTTGCCTCCACCCCTGGTAGAAGGGGCTGAGTTGGCCACCTCT